TATATATATATATATATATATATATATATGTATATATATATATATATATATATATATATATATATATATAAATCAAAATCAGATAGTAGTCGATATTATGGTAACTTTACATCTCTGAGGAATGAAAAAATTTTAGTAATTCAATTCCAGCAACTCGATCTCTCATCCCAATAGATTTTGGATGTTTGAAAGAGAATGTTGATAGCAGTGAACGGAAGAACAAAACTGCTAATGGAAGTAGTTTATTGCATTCTGATGGTGCAAGCTCGAGCGAAGATGAATGGAGTAGTAACGATCACTTGTTAGTCAACCAGATCCCTCATTTTGTTTCTGAAGTTACCGGTAACATTTTCCTTGTTTCATTTAAATTGCTCATTTGTCCTTTCAATGTTTCAGAATGCAACTTAGCGAAGCTGGTCGAAGCATCAAACGGCAATTAAAAGAAGCGAAAGCGAATGATTTGGGTTTTTTATATCGAGTCAGGCTCAATACTGTAATGAAGTATTTGCTGGTTCCTCCTTACATCATGAATTACCAGGTCATTATTTTTCCCGAATCTGTTTTAGATAGAATCTATAAAGAGACAGGGAGTCAATCTTCAAGAAAATCGTCGTGCGCTTCAAGGGAAAGCTCAGCAAATTACGAGCGCTGTCGAATCATTGTCAAAAGATGCGCTGAAAGTTTATGACCCATTTTTGGTATTCGTATCAGGTATTCACTTTATTTTAAAATAATGTTTTCTTTTATCTCGAATCTTGCTATCTTGCTATTCTCTTCTTTTTTTCTTTTTTTTTTTTTTCTTTTTCAGGGAAATAAACGTTCTTTGTGATTGAAGTTGAATTTTGGAAAAGAAAAAGTAAAGCTTTCGTATTATGAGGGTGTGAAAGAAATCTCTCCTCTTTACACCAAATCATGGTTTAATCAAAAATTAATCTCAATAGAATTTCACTAATATAAATCGTAGTATAAAAATGGCGTATAACAGCTGTTGCAGGAATCCAACACTTTCATCAGCAGCTTTTGAATCGTATTGCGATGGTTTAAAGAAAATCCGCTTGAGCCAACTGAAATGCTTTTCAGTAAGAATTTTATTCCAGATGATTATCATAACCTATTTATTCCTAGCATAATGAAAAACAGCAGAATGGCTAGTCATAGGCAGCAATACAATTACAAATGTCGTTAAAGATTGTAATATGTATAAGTCAGTTGAGACTTATTCAGTTAAGAAAGCTTATGAATGCTTAATTTATAACAGGTAGACAATAAATGGATTTCCTTGGCGATTATCGTAGATAAAACGGGTTGTCGTAAAAGTGCAAACGGACATGAGTATATGATATGGAATACTTCTGACCTAACGGTACTTTATTTTCAGAGCTAAGTTGTAAAGCCTATGTCTATACTACTTAATATCTTTTTTATTTTAAAAAATTGCCTTTTGTTGCAATACATTGACTAAACAAAATAAACTTCTCAAAGGCAGAAATAAAATTTCTTTGTTTTCAGGATTTCCTAGATACAAATGTTAAGATTCTCGTTTTTGGTGATTGTATCAAAAAATTTTGGAAATTGCAACTTGGCAGTGTTATTGCGCTTGTAGCACCACCTTTTGCTGATGGGGATGATAAACAAAGTCAAAGTTTTTGTCTTTTTACTGCTTTTTTGTGATTTTTAGGACGGTCATTAGAATTTTCGCATATCTAATGCAGATCTGTCATTTAGGACATAATGCATGCCATATGCAGCAATATACAAGATTTCTAAATGAAGCTTGTGTTTTCGCGTCAAATTTTTTCATTTAATCTGTCTTCTATTATGTTCAATTTTTTTGCTTATTGTGTTTTCATTTGCCATCTTTCAATTTTTGTCTTTTCCAGTAACATTGAAATTAACGAAATGTGCACAAGTTTTGGAAATGGGATTTTGCCCTGATTTTGGTCACTGCAAGGTTTATTTTGAACATTTTAGAAATATATTCCTTTAATTGGAAAGCAAAGATTAAACCGCTAAGAAAAGTGCTAATAACTTTCTGTACCCTGTGTTGATGTAATGAAATTGTTGAGAGTGAAGGTTGTATAATTTTTCTATGCAGTTATTTTACTAGATCAAAATTTGATGAAAATAACATGTTAACCAAGTGACCGTTAAGAGTTCCATACCAAGTTTAAAAACATGTTGATGTTTCAATAGGCCGTTAAAAAAGATGGTGGACTGTGTCAAAATGTGGTGAACTTGTCGCAGTGCGAGCGCTGCGTATATCATGTTCAACGAGCAGCACAGAAATTCACAGCAAATCGTGGCTCATTTGCATCTATGCTAGCAAATCCCAAGCGAAAGTTACCGCTGCAAGAATCGAACTCATTTTCAGGTGGTATAATTACAATTCCGAGAAGGTCAGTTCGTAGTATTTTGAGATAATTTTATAATGAAAATAATTTTATACTCTTGACTTTTCAATGAAACATAAGGTTGTAATCTCCATGCATATATAGATAAAAAAGAATAGCACTTGTGACATGCAGTGAATGTTTTTAGGAGTCCCAAAGTTTCAACAAATGCTCTGTTAATAAATAAGAGTAGAAAACAATTGAATCAACACCTGACTAGGAGTTGTTTAATGCGGTCGAAAAGTTTGAAGGAATGTGAAAAGATGACGCTTGACGCTTTAATTGCGAAGGAGGTAACTACTTTATTTATACTTTATTTTATACTTTATTTGATTGTTAATTATACAATGAAGTGGATTTATCACTATCCATATTGCTTAGGAATTTGGCAGTTTTTCGTTCCTACTCAACATATTTAATTACGTCCTTCACTGATAGCTCATTCGAACCATTTAATCGTTAAGCATTAGAAATGACAGCATGCCGAACTCAGCGGATGTAACTGTCACAAAAGCAAAAAGGGACTACAATATTACACTGTTGTGATCAGTATACCGTTGAGATTGAAATTATTAAATTTATGGGGGATCTTATTTACCCTTTTTTATTATATTGAGTCTTATTTACCCTTTGCAAAGAATTCTCGTAATTATTTGTTTGTATCATAGACTGCAATTTGTGGAACAAAAAGTGCATCGCAACCGCATGGGAAAATATCCCCAAGAGATAGGAGCAATGAATCATTAAAAGAGTTTCTGCAAAAGCAGGTTTCTGATTTGTAAATTTTTCGGATTTTAATAATTATGGAGCTAGCTGGATCTATATAAGAGATATATACGAACGATTCAATTTCTACGAGATTGGCTTATAAAATTTGTAGTAGGTAGTAAGCTCATCTTCCACTGCAGTTTGGTCAAGATTGCAATTCTATGCTGGATACTCTGTCTGAGGATACTTTAGAATAACCAGAAAGTGCAGAATGTTATCATTTACTACCCTAAATACAGGCGTCCTTTTCTCAATTGCAGAATCAGAAAAATAGGAATCCGGCATTTTGATTTAAGGCAAAAAAAAACTTAAACTACTTTCACCAGTAGGTTTAAGTTTTGCTTCCTGGAAAAAAACATTGCTTAATAGCAAACAATCGAAAATATTGCGAAAGATGTTAATGCTTCAATAAAAGATTGATTTCAATGAATTGATAATTTGAAAATAGCACTTGATCAATGCTTTAGTGCTTCTGCTTCCTGAGTGATGTCCAGAGGGATATATTATGTCTCATTATTTAGGATGGAAACGAAAGTTCCACGCACTCGCCAATTCTTGGCAAAGGCTTAAATTCTGGATCTGTTTTATTAATTAGCCCTAGAAAAAGTGACAAACTAACTGCTTCAGAAAATACTAAGGTTGGTGAATTTTTAACAATATTTGCGCTAATGTCGTTGTATTTAGTGCAGTGCGTCTTACAGCAACGATGCAATGATATCTCCGAGACGGTCGTAATGGAAAGCTCGAATGAAATCCATGCTGTCAGCCTTAGACCGTTACGTTTAATTCATTTACTGGTTAGGCTAAAAATATGCTATGATTATTTGCAGCGCAAAGCTATTGCAACAATAATGAAAAGAGGTGGTCTGGAAAAGGCTGATCCAAACTCAATCAACAGCAAGCATAAAAAAAGACGTTTGTTCTGTAAGGCATTCTCTTTTTGTTTTTGTTTTTTCTAATCATTTCACCACGCATTTTTTGCAACACATACTCTGTACGGGAATAAATTGAAAGCACTGTTTCGATTATTTGGCCGAAGCATTGCTGAAATACAATGCAATGCAGTAATGCCTTGTTTATAAAAACAGGCAATCTGGATACATCTTTTCGTTTCTTTCAAAAACCATTTTACCATGCATTGCTTATAAGACATGAATATGTGCTGTACTAGTATTTATTTTCCTTTTCTTTCCGGGATTTACTTGAATTGGAAATCATTGCTCAAATTGGTTTAATCTTGGGATTTCAGTTGAGTTGCAATACTAAGGAAAACTTTGCGGTGAATTCCTAGATGATACATTTCAATTCATTTAACTTCCTAGAAACTTCTTTAGTTCCTCCGGAACATAAAGGACAGAAGAACACCGAAGTTAATAAGAATGTTAATAGCAACTCGGAAAAAGTCAGAGGATTCTCGAAAACTCTTTATACTGCCGAAGAAATTTCAAAGCTGTTAGAGAAAAGAAGCAATCACGAGGGTGATCTCCGTCGGGTAAGCTCACTGATAGTTGCAATCGTGTTATAATTTTGCCAGACGAGCTGGGTTCCTTCTAGAATTCCGACTTTTATATTAATAGTATAGCACCGTAATTACGGTTGTAAAAGGTTATTATATTTTATATTTAACTTTTTTTTTTTTGTAAAATATAATAATGATTAGAATCATTAAAGATTAGAATTATTTCGCAAAACATGATAATGCGCGAATCCGATTAGGTGCATAGTCAAGCAAAATGGCCATCGAACCAGAAAAACGGGCCCTGTGCTAGAGCGAAACAAACGCTAAAGAAAAAGAAGCACGAATTATTTAGTCATTTCAGTCGTTGTCTAATTTAAATTGAAGTTATTTCTCAAAATCCACCATTTCTCTTAGAGACAATCACTGTCATCGAAAACACATGGAATCTTTCTAGGAAGATGCTGCTCGTGAAAAGCGTTACTTCAGTGCTATGGAACAAAAAGAAAAACTGGAAAATTATCTTACTAAGACTATGGAAATTAAAAATTGCAATGTAGTTATATGCATGCAGGTTATTACGTCTTAACTTTCAAATATTCCCATGAGTGGTACAATTTTTCTTAGTTACATTGAAATGTCAGAAGAAAAACTGTAATATTCATTTGTAACAAGGTTTATTCACAGAGGTTTCAACCGCAGAAGCAACCACAGTTTCCGGAAGGGAAATAACGAAGCAACGGAGAGACTTTGCTAATATTCTACTTTTTTTTTTTCAGTGCAATTATACGTCATACAAACAGAGTGATCTATGCAAACAGTTACATCATACTGTAAAACAATGCAAGGCTAATAAACGATTCTTCCGTTGTAAACAATGTTATAAGCGCACAGTTTCGTATGAAAGACTACCCACAGTTCCTTGCACGGTTGGTCTTTCTAATTCGAGAAGGTTTGGGAGTTTGATGTAGATAAATGTAAAGAAGTTTGCTAAGCGAAGTTGGCCCGTCGTAACACTTAGCAAGAATGAGAGAGTACCAATTGCTCATATTTTAAACTACAAATTTTTCCGACCGAAGAACATTCGCGCCAGTACTCTTTCTCACAAAATAAAGTTAAGCAGGGAAGACATTTTTTTAATTTCCAATTCGTTTTTAGCATACAGCAAGTTCACATACTAGTCGTAACACAGTAAATTTCTAGCAATGCGGGTACAACGATTTCGAACGGGTAGCAATGAAGGATGAAAAAAAGGTAAAGCTGGCACAAGAAAATCTGCTTTTACGTGGCGAAGAACGAGAATTTGTTAATTGCTAATGTAGCGAATAGTTTATTTTTATATTAATTACCCATTCTAAGGCTTTTCATTATCTCCTCTCATAACTTCATGTGTGCGGATGTCATCAGTTGGGCATTATTAATAACTACTGCATCATAAGGAAGATACAGATCAACCGAGATGTTCATACATTCCTCCATTCTCAATTTATATTGATTATCTATCCTATCTATCGAAAGTTGATGAAAAGGATAGGATGAAATTATCCCCTCTGTCACATAACTTAGGATGGCACATAAAAGCTTTTCGGTTATATTTTGTCAAATATTGTGAAAGTAACCATCTTTAATTGTGTACGGGAAGCATTCGATATATTTTTTGAGTTCATGATGTGAAATTACAAAAACCGAGAAGCACAATTTTTGGAATCTTTGAATAGAGTGCAAAACTTGTCATATGTAACTCATGTTTTTTTTTCTTTTTTTTTTGTACACGTGCCTTATCACTTTATTCATCATCTAACCTATGCATGCTCATTTGTTTGTATGCATTTTGATAAATTACACAAACTGATGTAAGTATATCAGAAAGGCTGATGAAAGCAAGCAAACTCATCATTAAATGAAATTAACAGTTTTGAAAAATAGGTAATAGTTATGGGTCTATAATTTCATCTCATTTCTATGAAATTTCAGGTATCTGAAATCACAAAACTGTAACGCATGGAAATTGCAGCTTTTGTTTTAATAAACAGTTGTGGAAGGATCAGTAAATGATTGCAGATGACACCAAATCGCTAACGCCACAAACGTCTTTGCCAAGCATCAAACGGAAATATCCATCCTCACCCCACTGATCACCCCAGCTATTCTTGATCGTCCAGTAAGGTAGACCGTTTTCAACACCATAGCCAGTGATCAGTACTCCATGATCAATCCCTGACGGTGGGCAACGTGATCGGGATGGATGAAGAATTCCACTTTTATAATATGCCAACAATTTGGCATCAATTCCTTTAAAAAGAAAAAAAAATGATTCTGAAAGTTCATCAGTTAAAATCAAAAATTTGAATTCGAACTCAGAATATCAAACTGATGAAATTTAAAATCAATTTCAGTTGTATATTTTATAACAATCATACTTAGTAGTAATACAAGAATGTGTAAGAGAAGATTTTACATGGACTTGCTGAAAAAAGCTCAGGATGAAACCATCAAGCTTTCCCGTTTGAATTTATTTTGTCATTGGTTGGTATTAGGTTAATATCGGGTGCCACTTTCTCATATCATACTTCCCATTCTAACATAACTACTATACTATCTAATAATACTTACCAACAGAAAGAGGTCCACGTTGAACAATCCATGCTTTCATCACAGTCTCATTCCGTGGAATTTCCACAGCATCATCGATAGTGACAGCAATAGCCGATCGAATCAAATGACAAGTTCCATTCCTTGCTTTGTATGGATATTGATCTTCCGGTTCCAAACCACCCATTCTTTGTATTTCTCTGAAAATCAAAACCTATATTCCATTCTATCTTAGTTAACGTGTCTCGAATAGAAAAATTAAATATCTTATTTTTTAAAGTCCAAAAAATTGATTTTTTTTCATATTTTATTAAACTTCTTTCTCAAATTTCCCATTCTTATATATTTTTCCTCCCATTTTAACTTTTTCTATTAAAATATTGCAAACTAACCGGAAAGCATTGATTGGTAATCCTCCATTGCATCCTTTATCAATCCTATCACAATCAATCAATTCTTGTTCAGAAAGCGATATCAACTTGCCTGTTTTAATAGCCCAAAGACCTTCAATATTGCCAGTAACCGAAAAAGCCCAACAACTACCACAGGATCCTAAAATTGGAAATTTTCAAGAATCTAAAATGTAACAATTGGTATCATAGAATATTTTAACAAGTTAGATAAACTTGTAAACCTTGATTTTTTACTGGCGTGACAACTCCTTTTGTACGCCAATCAAATTGCTCTGGTAGATTATTGAATGTAAGATTAAACTTCTTTAAATCATATTCAACACCATTGGATACTACCCTATCCCACCATAAACTTGGTAGCATTGTCTGAAAGTTTTGTTTATTTAATAACAAAATAACAACAAAATCTCTATTCCAATACAATCAATAAAATTTTTTAATTTCAATTATAAATATTAATTTTTGAACTCCATAAAAATATCAATCAATCAGTCATTATTAATATAAACTAATATTGATTAAAATGAAATGATTACGTTTAAAGAAAATCACACATTTTCTTCGAAAAAAGTAGCGCAATCTTTAATTCCTTCGTCAAGATTTTACAAATAAACAGATATTTTTAAAATTCGAACAAAAAAAAAAATTTTAAATTCAAACTTTTTGGAATTCTTCAGGTGACATATCACTGAATTGTGTCACACCATAAATCGCTGTCCCTTTCTCTTCATGCTGCAATTTCTCGACGAAGTGCAAATTTTGCATATATTTTTTGAAACGATCCAATTGTTCCGCTACTGACGAATATTCTCGTTTGAATCTTAAACAATTATGATAGAATTTGATAACAAATATGATATGATAAAAATCAAATATGACTAAAATTTAAAATATTTAAAATGATTAAAAATTATGATAAATTATTTTATATGACTGAAGCATGCTTTAACATGAAAATATCATTGTGATCATTGATTCAAAATATAATCCGTGATCTGATATGAACTAATATGAGATATTGCATAAATGGAATAAACTGATACATTATATCGATAATTCTTTTCTTTTTTTTTCTCCCTCAAATCAAATATAAGATAAAAGAAATAAAGGAGAGAGAGAAAAGAAGAGATAATACTTCTTACTTTTTAATGAAATCTAAAAAACTGTTCCATAACATTTCCGTTTTTTTTCCCTCTTGCCAATTTTGTAAATCAATAACCGGATCAGTTACTTTCATATTCACCGTATCTGACTCATCATGACTGCAATAATTATCATTTCATTCGAAATTTATTATAACAATGATATAAACAATCAAAATTTTTGACAACCTTTTCATTTCGGCTAGCTGTTCCGGTGAAACATAATCGGAACATGCTAAAAGTTTCATCTTTCCTGCTATTTTCCAACTTGGTTGAAACATTTCAAATGTACAAGTCTGAAAAGAAAATATTAATAAAAATAATCGTGTTAACAAACAAGCAATTTATGCTATTTATGATTTTTTTCTTCAAAAAATAAAATAAAATATAATTTATAATTTAATTTGCATAAAATTTCACTTTATTGAAATCTGATTGGAAAATACTATACTAGTGGAAATAAATCATCGAAATAATTCAAATAATGTAATTTGTTTTAAATTATATCATTTAATCGAAAATAATCTGAAATTGGAAATGGCTAAAATGATAATTATAATTTTAAAACATTATATATATATATATTATTAACCTTTAAATCATGATATATCTTTGCTAAATAATTTTATCGAATTTCAACACTTTTTTTTAAAGTTGAAAATAAAAGTATTTACCTTCAAACCAGTTGCTTTTTTTGCTATACAATCTTTGCTATTGAAATTGGTATAAGCCTGAAATTTGAATAATATGCGATAGAAATGAAAGCAAGAAAAAGAAAAAAATTCCAAACAATTGAAGTTTATAAGAAGGAATGTAAAAAAAGGAAGTTTTTCTTACAATTTTTGTACAATTTGAAAGAGCAATTGCAATTTTGATCGAAAAATGCATTCCGGTATTATGAATGGTACCAATATCTAAAACTTTCACCGGAATCCACCAATACTTATCATCCCTTCCTTTGTTATATTCAGCCATTGCTAACGATAACAAATCCTGTAGATGATTAATGAATGATAGATATTCTAGAAAAATTCCAATACAAAATTTTCATCAGCCAAGTTCTCTTATTGCTAAAAATCAAAATTGTATGTATTTCATTGAGAGTCCAAAAAAGATAATTGTGGAATATTGGACAATTTTATTCGTCATTTTCATAAATATATTTTTAAAATTCATTGATTTCATTAAATTGTTTTTTTGAAACTCAAGTAAAAACTTTCTAAGTTACAATATATAATTCAACACGACTACCAAACTTGGCTAACCAGCTTCAGCTTGGCTAATCTTTCTTAACAAATCAAATATTAAACATTCAGCTACTAATGATTTCATTTACTTTATTTAGTCATTGCTCTTTTTCCAATTTAAATCGGATAAAATTTCAAATCCATTTTTAATTTAAAATTATTATAGGATACAATAATTATTGCCTCAGTAACTAATGTTGAAAAGATAGCTGTATGTCGAAAATGAACAAGCCTTTTAAGCTTAGGCTTATCATCTTTTTATACCATAATTGATAACAAAATCTTTTTTACCTCATATTTTTCTGTTGATGGATCATGCTTCTTAATTGCCAAGAGGACATGAAGCCCTAACAAAATTATCCAACACTTAGCCAACATGTAAATAATTCACACCAAAAGCTATCCAGATGAAAATTTGTTGATGATTTTGTGAAATGAATACTGAATGGAAATGAAAAAGCGGAAATTAACTATGAAAATGAAGTAAAATTAAAAAAAGAACGATAATATATTCAAATTATATTTTGTAACATTTTCATTTAGGCCTATAATTATACTGTAACAGTGATAATATAACTGAATAATGTAAGGGACGGAAAAAGCTATAAACATTACAACTAACGCCAATGTTTATATTACTAAATTTAACAAAAAGAAGAAGAAAAAAAAAAAAACGTAAAACAATCCTTAAATAATATAAACTTATAATTCCATTGTTGCAAAAACGATGAAGAGAATCGCTCGATCGATCAGATCGGTCGATGTTTCGACATTCCTGTTCTACCTCCTTTCATCTTCTGTTGTGCCCTTCCAAACAACTGTTACAACATCCTCTCTTATTTAATCGAATAAGCATCTGTTAACCACCATCATCATTAAACACCAAGCACCAACAGCGCCAGAAACAGAAAAAAGGAGCATTACAATGATTAATGCTAATGGAACTTTCTTTTTTTTTTTATTTGAAAGTTCAACGAAACAAAAAAATAAATTCGTTGTACCTCAACAGTATATGGCGGTAATTGTTCCTTATCAATACATGGTGGTAATGGCGCTGGGATATCAATTTTTGGTACATAAATTTGAAAATTAATAAATTGGCAGGAAAAAATATTCTTTAAGCTAGCAATCTGATCATTTATCCTACAAATGACTTCAAATGCATCACAAATTTTCTTCAAAAATAATATGAAAAAGAAAAGGTTTAACAAAATTAAAAAATGATAATTAAAAAGAAAAAAAGTTGTTTAAATATTTTGTCTGATTATTGAATGATAAATAGTTCCATATTATATTTACTTATTGTAATTCTTATTTGCTAAAAATCAACTCGCTAAAAATAAAACTTTCAAAGGGATAAGTGTCATAAATTTCGAGCATTCTAATTATTGTTACTTTTAATTACTTTAAATCTAAATTACATCGAATAGTACTTTAATTACTTAAATTTAAATTATTTCAAATTATCGTTACTTTAAATTATCCCAAGCATTATTTGATATCAGAAATGGTTATCTGTTTGATATGCTTGTAGGAACTGAAAATATGTAGAACTGGTTTACGATACAAATCTGCATTGTTTCTTGTTGATCTAACTGCGCTTTATCTGTTATTTTGCGCTTTTTAATCATTTGAAATTCATCATATAAGCAGTGATGCATTCGTCATCAAATTCTGATAAAATTTCACGGAAATAATAGCTTTGATGGATTTTTTTTTCCAAATTTCAAAATTGAGAATATTGACGGAATAGTATAAGTAAACGTACAATATATTAATATTGATAATGGAATTTGAAATGATTGATCTATCTGATGTTCATATCATTGATCATAATCAGCTAATAGATCAATCGTTTGATGTTTGAACTATTCGAGAAGTGACAGGAACAAAATAACAGCTTAAAATTACTTTATTTTTCCAAATTAAAATATTCGACGATGACAAAAGGAGGTATCGACACATCTGACGTATTTAGAGATATGATAAGTTGAACGTATTTGCACGTAACACGTAACACAATTTATGGTATATAAAACATGTGCATGTTCATTTTACAAAAAAAAAAATTTAATTTTGCTAGATAGGTTGAAAATTTCCGCACCTTAGAGGGCGATAAAACACGGGGAGATTTATGAACTGTTACGTACAAGCGTTAAAAACGTTTCAATAGATGGGCATGGGACAGTTAAAGATGATGTCCAAGGAAAATGCAAATTTTATTCATTCAATAAAAATGGCAGAATTTAAAAAAATGTGCTTCGTACATTTGATGTGCTAGTTGCTTGTTTGCATACTTGTTTACTTATGAATGAACACGTCTGTATTTCAACGTAAACCACGTCAAATGATATGAGACAAAAATCAGTTGAAATTACAATAAAAGAACACTCGTTATTTGTGAAATACTAATTGTTATACATCCGTCGATCACATTTACAAAACATTTCCCTAAGCAAATTTTATTTCTTTACATTTTGAAATTTAATTGGTGGCAAGATATCTGATAAGCAACTATATATGCTTCTATTTTACTTCATTAAGTTGTTTTAATAGAGCCAATTTTTTTCTTTTTAAATTTTTCGTCAAAATTTAAATTCGGGTCAGTAATTCTTCTAACCTTAAAGTCCAAAGTTCAACTTTTTTGCAAAATTTTCTAAACCTGTGCAGACAACAATTTTAAAACCATCATTGCGATTTACTGCTTTACTGTCTGTCTAATTACTAATTAATCGCTTAATTCCTTGTCAAAATTATCAGTTGTCATTTTACATGCACGCATGCACTCACAATAAATGTAAAGTATATGGATATGCTCCCTGGCAAAAGTTAACGATATCTAATTCATACCCATTAATAAAACAGACTTTTTAATCTTAGGCCTTTTAATTATGTAACTTTGTAATGCTTTCTTTAGGTAAACCTAGTAAAAAACATTACCTCAGATGAAAATACAAATAGCATTCCTCAGTATATGCGATTGTAATTTTCAAAGAGATGAATTCAATGATGCATTTGTAATATTCGATTACAGTCATTGTCAACACAGGTTTGACATCATTCATTGCTTGAAATGCTCTTTTGGACAGTTTATCTTCTTTGTATTCTTGAAATTACTTTTTGGCTAATTTTAATTTTAATTTTGCTTTACGTTTGTTTACTTTAAGAATTTTTGTAGACTGAAAGATATAAGCCAACTAGTTGAATCACTTTACTTTTACCAAACTTTTCATTTAACTTCGCATAGTTTAATATTCCAATTCAATGAATGTGAGTGATTTCCAATTCCTTTCCTTTTTTCTCTTTCAAGTACGACAAAGTATTCTCAATAATACGGTAGCAATAAACCGGTTGAGCTATCCGGTCATTGCTATACTTAACTTCTGATTGGATAGAAGAAAAAAAAAAACGTGCTTGTTTATAGTAATATTATGGGGAATACTTTAAGTATTTTATACTGAATATACTTTATAAGTTCACACTTATTTCTATCAATTACAGATATCAAAATGACTAAATTACAGATAGCAATTACAAGAATGATACGGTAACAGTAGCGTTACATTAACGTTACCAACAATTCCTTTATCAGATGATGATTGAAATCTGCCAAAATCTTCTATCATTGCCTGTAAATTCTTTAAACTTAATTCCATTAGCCTAATTATTTGTTTATTTACTTGCTTACTATCATTGCTCATTTCAGTTCAAATTAATTCCTATTCTAAGTTCATTTTTATTGCAACTACCTTATTCCAACCATTGGTTTTTTTATTTCTCGTAAATCACTCCCTGCATAATTCAATTATAACTAAATAGCTCCCTTAACTTGAATAATACTAGCTTAATAGAAGTAAATTTCTTAACCAAGAACTCGAATTGCTCTTGTATAATTAGTAAGTGATTACTGTTAATGGTGACAATGGACTCATAAAGAATTCAAAATTATCCAGGACTAATCGTTTCAGTTTTAGTTTTATTATGCTTCCACATTCAGGATTCTTAGACAATTATTCCCATTTCCAATTTAGTTAAAGTCGCATCATTTAGTCATTACTATTTTTGTTAATTACCATCGTTTAAATTAAATCCTACTGTTTTAATTACCATTATTAATTACTTCTGCTTTTACATTTGTACAAGTTTAAATAATTAAAGTCAAATTGTTGCTTATTTTCTCATTCCTTAATTCAAATAGGATTTTTTTTAATTTATCGCCCATCAGTAAATTAAAAAATGAAATTGAACTAAATATCGCATTTTGAAATTTAAATAAAAAGCTGAAAATTGATGTGTATATAATATAAATCCAATAAATACGGAAAACGGAATTAAACCTTCCGGAATTGAAAAGCAATAGAAAAGATCCGTAATTTTCTTTCAAAACGAAAAAAAATCGACTACCATTTCATCTGTCAACCAACAATTATATTTTTAACAGATACTATTGAAAAAAATTAAAAAATGCAACTTACTCTCACTCACTGCTGCAAACGCTACCCGTGAATCTTTCGTCGTTTTTTTAATGCCTAACCTCACATTATTTATTATGTCACTTTTGCTATTTAACACTTTCCAAACCTACAGCCACTCTATTTTGCAAATCACAGTAATCCCTACGACTTCATCAGATCCAACACTTTCTCTCATCACACTATTTACTTTAATCGCTCTTGAATTATACACTCTCTCTGAAAGATCAAAAATGATGTCTCATATAACAATTGGCAGTTCATTATGAAAAGTGTCTTCCCGCGGCTTCTTTTCCGCTCGTGTTTTATATGGGGGATTGTTCACGGTTTTTTAAAATTCTCTCCAAATGTTGAAGTAGTTCGTTTTGTATGTCGGAATCCCGAATCGGAAGAAAGATGAGAACCGGGAGCGGAATGTTATACAATCTCCGACATCGAGGATTGCTTCGAGCAAAGGGAAAAGAAGTATTCCAATTCTTGCAAGCCCTCATCACAAATGATATCAGGTCAAGTATGCTTTTCTTGGATTCACGTTTCTTATAAGCATGCATTCGAGTGGTTATGTGTTAAGTATGTTTATATAAACATCGAGTCAGTGCTTGATTAGTTGTAAAAATTGTTATATACATAGTGTATATAACAATGTATATAACATAGTGTATATAACAAAATATATATATAACAATTTTTACAATTGTTATATACATAGTGTTGTATGCGTCTTTGCAAAGTCACGTGATTATACGTGCAGAGTATTAGGTAAAATCATCTTTGTGTAAGATTTCTACTGCAATCAGCGGTACCAGTAGTTGTTTAATGAGGAATTGTAGAGAACAGTCTTGATATGCTAAGGATCGTTCCGCAAGTCGGTATGTTACGGAGTATTAAGTGAAAACTTAAACTTGTGTTTGGCTTTGCAAGTGTGAAATAAATTGATGAAAGTAATAATTTAGGCGTTTAGCAGATGGCCGTGCACAGTATGCTTTGCTACTCAACAGCCGTGGCCGTATTGTGGAAGATTTGATTTTGTATCGACAAGCAGGTGAAATTTTAATTGAAAGTGATCGAAATAACCAATCGAAATT